ACTTCTTACATTTTAATTCAATTATCTGTACTTTCTACTCCTTACTTTTTAAAAATGCAAAACGTATTTCATTTCTATTCAACTTTGACTTGTTTTTATTCCATCTTTTCATTGTTCAGAAAAAAATAAATAAATATAAATCTATCCAGACACATGAAGCCCATGGATACAGTGTGTTTGATTGTGGTTGATAAGAAGTGTAAATATATACCATCCTGACATCCTATTGGATTGAACTCACTCCATCACACCTGTGTGACACAAATCACTCCATCACACCTGTGTGACACAAATCACATCACATTCCAGCAGGACAGACTGTAGCACAGTGATTCCCAACCAGGGGTACAAGTACCCCTGGGGTTACACGATCATATTACAGGGGGTACGTGGAAAAATATCCCAGGTGCACAAAAAATAAGTAAAAATAGCAATGTGGAAATTATGGATTTGACACAAAATGGAATCCAGTATAAAGAGCAGAATCTCACAGAATTTGCTCATTTGGGTGAGTTTGTGATGTATTTTTGATGTTGCTGTTTTCTGCACCTGCCATTACCTGGTTTACTTGGGGCGGCTGTGGCGGAGTGGTTAGGGGAGTCGTCCTGGAACCAGAAGGTCACTGGTTCGATCCCCCGTCCAGCCGTCTCAGTCGTTGTGTCCTTGGGCAAGACACTTCACCCACCTTGCCTACTGATGGGGGTCAGAGGGTCCGGTGGCGCCGATGCATGGCAGCCCAACCTCTGCCAGTGTGCCCCAGGGCAGCTGTGGCTACAGTGTAGTTTGCCATCATCAGTGTGTGAATGTGAGGGTGAATGTCTGTTATGTAAAGCGCTTTGGGGGTCCGGAGGGACTTGAAAAGCGCTCTATAAGTTCAGTACCATTTACTTATTTAATTACTTATTCACTTTCAAGGCAACGTTTTTATCTTTATCTTTAATCTTTCTTTGAAAAGAATAACCATCCATCCATCCGTCCATTTTCTTCCACCTATCCGGAGTCGGGTCACGGGGGCAGCAGCTTCAGAAGGGAGGCCCAGACCTCCCTCTCCCCAGCCACTTCTTCCAG